ATCGAGTACATCTTTTACTCACCACATAAAAGATTGAAGAGTGCGTGAGCACTAGTCTTGAATTCCATATACACTTGTGGTTTGCTCTATTTGACAATTGTTAGGGAGAATGAGTGGTCGGATGGATTTGATTGGTTGACGTTGATGCATATTTGTTGGATTTGTCTTGAATCGATTGTGCTTGATTTAAATTATATTTGGGGTGAAGTTTTGGTTTATTTATTCATTGTTTTGCTTAGGGACAAGCAAAGAGTTGGCTTGGGGGAGTTCAAATTTTGACAGGATCTAGTCGTATCATCTAATCAAAAGTAATTACCTAAGTCCTCTAACTAAAGTAGATAGGGAAGTGTGGTCGAATCCACAGGGAAACAATGTTCTTCTATTCCTAATCAACAATTATAATCTAAATTATCAGGTAACCAATTTGTATTTGTATGAATTAAACTAATAATAAAACTAAGAAAATTAATCAAAGGAATAATCAATAATAAAAAGCTCTAGGGTATAGGTTCACCAATAAATAATACTCCAGGGTAAAACATACGATCAATTATCAATGCATAAATTAACCAGATTATAAAGGGTTGTCGCTACGTATTATAATCACATAATTAATCTACTGGTATTAAATCTCATCTCTCGAATCTCGACCTAACCATTAATAGATTAACATGCCTATTGAAACTAAGCTTAAATATCAATTCTCATCTCTCGAATCTCGAATCAATATTGCAAAACTCATACAATTAAACCTGCGCAAATCTAATTGCATAGTATTAAATCAATCAATAGGAAATTAATCAATCATAAATAATTAACAATAATAAATTACCCCTTCGTATTATTCATGGATCCCCATAAACCCTAGAATTAAACTACTCGTGCATAATTAAATCTAAACTAACCACAGCGATAAAACCATGCATAATAAAACAAAATCAAATACTTCGTAAAAAACTATCGTTAATGAAGCTCAAACTAATGAAATATATTAAAACTAACATATGAGAAAATAAAGTAAAAGCATGAAGAAAACAAGAAAATTCTGACTAATACTATCAAGAAAAGACAAAAGAGACGAAAGCGTAACTAATAACTAAAAGAATAATTTCTCACCCCCCCAATCCTACGTACTACCCCCTTTTATAACAAAGTTATTGGGCTTTTAACAGTAAAAATCTAATAGCTAAGCTATCAAACCGACTTGGTTCGGCCTTGCAACACACTTGCCGGGTATCAGTCCGCTAGATTGGGCCCGCCAATAATCACGCCCAGCAGCTCTTAATTGGGCTGATTGCTTCTTCGTTTGGGTCAATAAGTTGGGTCATTTATTTTAGCTTTAGCCCATTTTTCTTTCTTGGTCCAAAATATTAATATCTTTGTAAATCTTGCACCTACTCACGTATCGAGCTTTAAATCACCGAACTAAATTCCTGCAACTCGATCTTGGGTAAATAAATATACAATCATAAAATACGATTCGACTCTAATATTTATGTAGTGGCTTAATAAGCTCGGGAATTATCATAATTCTGTAAATTCCTACGAAATAATATCAACTCTACAAAAACACTAGAAAACGTATATTAGTAATAAAAATAGCTCCGCAGAGCTCAAATAAGCACATATATGACCGTGGGACGGGGAATAAATATATATATAAAATAGACTTATCATTACAGCATGCACAATTTTTTATAACAACACTGGAACAATGAGCATATTATATGGAACAATTAATGTAGATAATGGAACAACATATAATAGATAAGTAAACACAGATAAATGTTGAAACTTTACTTGGATGAAGCATCTTTCTTTGTCATTTTTGGAGCTGATTTTGTTGCAGTTTTTGTCACTTCTTTGGGCATGGGTTTTCTGTTTACAAAGCATTTAAATGTTTAGATACAATAGTTCATTTTTTGGAACAATCTCTTAAATAAGTGGTGCAATCAATTAAATATATATCACAGCAATAGACATGTTTTATGAAACAACAAAATATAAATATAGAACATTACACATTTTTTAAATAATTGAAAATATGTCTGTATAATTCATGAAATAGTATTGGTACAATAGGCATATTTGATGAAACAATAGTATATATAAACTGGAACAATTAAAAATACATAATAGAATGACAAGCATATTACTTGGAACAACAAATATTTATTGTGAAACAATAGGAGTATTAATTAGAACAACATATATATATTATGGAACAACTGAATACATAAACCGGAACAATAGCTAATACATTCTGATTAACATTGAATAATTTAATACACCAAAAGTGGAACAATAAGCACATTTTATGAAACAATTTATGTAGGTAATGGAACAACAGATAAAATATTAGGAAACACAATTAAATTATGAAATTGTACTTGGATGCAGCATCTTTCTTTGTCGTTTTTGAGGTGATCCTGCTGCATTTTTTTTCACTTCTTTGGGCACCGTTTTTCTGTTTACAACCCATTTACAAGTTTGAGATACAACAGTTCAATTTGTTGGAACAATCGCTTAAATACGAGTAACAATTTGTAAACTTTTTGGAACAACAATGTCAATATTGTGGGGTTATCAACATGATGCACAGAAAATAAACGAGGAAAAACCCTAGAAATAATTGTGAACCTTGAACATATATATGGAACAATAAAATCATAAATGGGAACTGTACTTAGTTGTTGAAGCTTCTTTTGCTGACAATGGTGGTTCCGTTGCGGCAACAACTGCGGTTGTGGTGATAAGGTTTACCGGAACAACTTCACTTTCCACACCATCCAATTCTCTTCTCATTCTTCTCTGTTTAAAACAACATAAATTGTGATTTTTTTTAATTTCTTCATATCAAATTATAAAATCCTTACTTCAATTACCACGAAAAGAACTTACTGGAATTTTTTGAAATTCTCTTTGCGTCGAATGCTTGCAATTTTCTTCTTGTCCATTGATTTGCTTGAAGTTTTTTGAATTTTCTTGAAATTTACTATTCGTCGTCACTTCTAATGGTGTAATTTTGTTGAAGGATTGCAAAATGTAAAATGGTGATTTCTGGGAACTTTTATAGGAAAAACTGTAGCGGTTATGGGAAGTTTTTTTGTAGTTATGGAGGAGTTGTGTGTTTCAAATGGCGGAAATGGGTTTGAAATGACAGGAAAATGAGTAGTCAGTTCATAACCGTCAATGATGGTTTTCACATTCCGAGGAAAACTGCTCATTACGTGTATTAATGCAATTTTTTTTTTTTTTTTTTTTTTTTTTTTTTTTTTTTTGGTAACTGCTCAACCGTCAAATCTAAATAAATGGATGGTTTAAGATTGGTTCTCATTTTAAGATGGTTCTCACCTAAGGAATATATATATATATATATGTGTGTGTGTGTGTGTGTGTGTGTGTGTGTGTGAGCGCGCGCGTGCGTGTGTGTATTCATGCACATTTGCATATATAAGGATGGGTGCCATGCAAATTATTATATAATATAATAATAGTACTAATGAGTGGCAGCACTTATACATTCACAAAATTATTTGGGCGACTTTTCCTTTTTTTTTCCATCATAATAATGATTTTTGATTATGTCGCCCAAGTCTTGCATTCTGACAGGAGTTATCTCATTCTCAGACGACGATTTGAGATCATTACGACTTTGCCCTCACATTGGGTTTCACAAGTAATGAAATGTTCTATTTCTTGAGTTGGTGTTTGATTATGGCTAAGTGTCATTCCAGACGTGTCTTCTCACATACAACACCAAATGTTTCAGGGATTTTTGGAATAACTGAAAGGGGAGTATGAATTCCCTCGGGAGACAGCCGAAATGCAACACCTGTACGACCTGAACACCTGCAAAACAACGAATCTCCGGTTTATCGGAGATCTGCCTCTTCCGATCAAGTTAGTGGCCGACAACGGAATTTTAGAGAGAGAAAGTAGAGAGAAGTGAGAGCATATTTTTGGGCAGAGTGCCTTTGGGAATTGTGTAGTCCTTTTCCCATCATAGATTTATGGCTTATTTATAGGAAAGTGGGAGATCATGCTCCTAGGGTTTCATAACCTAGGAAGATCAGCTGCCCTATACGTGGTTGACACGTGTATTAGGGTTTGCTTCATGCTAGGCATGTTTCCTTTAATGGGCTTTGAGCCCTTCATTATCTGATATTTCTCTTTAGGCCACGTGTCATGCTCATATTGGCCTTTACTAGTTGAGTAGGATGCCATGTGTCGGCTTATAATTAGGCCCTTGTCGGCCTCTCATTTGTCTATAAAAAGGGGGTAAAAATACCCCTAAACACTATGCTTCTTAACACTAGAGGTAATCCCCACCATGAGCTTGCAGTGGCTGTATGTGATGCAGCCTCTCTTTTTAGTGGATTTGATATGGCTTTTATCAATCAAATTCCAAGGGAGATGAATATATTGGCTTACAATCTGGCAGTGTATGGGAAGAACATGGCAGTTGGCTACAAGACGCACTACTTGGTTCTTGAGTGCGTGAAGGATGTCTATGAAGCAGACTTGGAAGCTTCTGCTACTTAATCCTCGCTATGTTTTAGTGTTTATCCCAAGAAGTGGATGACTAAGTATTTTGAACAATAGCTTGCACACTAGTATTTGCTTTCTAGCTAGTTTCAGCAGTAAGGTTAGGCTTTGTATTAGCCGGTTTTTGTTCAACACCAAGTTTTGTACCACAAACTTAAAGGTGTTGTTGTACATTTTAATGGCTTTAGCCTATTAATATAAATCTTAGTTTCTTGTTTTAAAAAAAAGTTAATTTGCTGGCAACCAACATTCCATTTCTGCATTGGCCCACACACGACCATTGCCGTATTGAGTAAGTATAGGCCCATACCTTGTATAGTCCATACCAAATTCCTTTTTTTTTTGTTTCTATTTATTTCCTCCGTTCAATAATAATTGCAACAAATGAATATTTTATATCTCACAAATAACACCCCTTTGTTGCAATTAATATTTAACGGAGTAAATATACTGTTATTATTGATAAATATACAGTTATTGTTGATTTTATACTATTATTTTTTATTTTATATTGTTATTATTCCAGCGAGATTTCTAATGGAGAAAGAGGGAAAGAGAAAAGAGCGTATTTTATTATTATATAATTATTGTTGATTTTATACTATTTATTATTAACTTTTACACTGTTTTCGCCCTTTGGTACGGTCCATACATGGTAAAGGTCCATCACACCTCGTATTGTATTTCTGTTACCCAGCACACAAAACGCGCACTTCCTCAAAATTATCACATCATATATCCACCTCGGATCTCTCTACTTGACTACTTCTCCACTCACTTCACTCTCATATTCTCTCTATCTCCTCTTCTGCGCACTCTGTTCCACCGTCATCGACCGCTTGAAACATCATCTCGTAATTACATTTTCCTTCAATGTCTTTGTGCAATGGTCTGATGTCTTCTTCAATTTGGAGAACTGATTTTACCTTAAATGGAAGCATTGATCTCATACTTAGGCGCACCAATGGGCACAAATACTTCAATCACCCAATTTATAGGGTTTTTGCGATGTCCAAGGACAATCAAACTGCCTACAAGATGAATTTGAATGAGTATATGGTCACCTTAGATAAGCCTCTCGGAATTCGCTTCGCTCTTTCGGTTGACGGCAAGGTTTTCATTCATTCTCTCCGAAAAGGGGTAATTTAATTATACTCCTAATTACTCTCTCAGTTTTGATCATTATTTTTTACTGCCGTGCAATGTATGGGTTGAATTTGATTGAATTATCTTATACCAATCATATTGAAAAGAAAAAAAATACTGTACACTTTCTGTAATATTAAAAATTTAAGGTTAAAGCCAGATATAATATATTTTCATTAATATGATGCAAAGCTTATATACTACTACCTACATTTCTTATTAATTGCAACAAAGGAATTTTTCATGTCTCACAAATTATTATAACTCTTTGTTGCAAGTTGCAACTAATATGAAACGGAGGCATTATATATAAAATGTGATCCTGAACCTTAATACTCCCTGTTTTCAGATGTTCGTGTCATTTGGTTGGACTTGAGAGATTCCATGACAACTGGAATCTAACAATTTAACTATTTTTTATATTTCAAAACATTCACCTGCGATCATGTTCGATTGGTCTAGATTTCTAGCGTCTAATTGTTGTAAATTTTTTTCATAATACTTAGTTTGAGATATTAAATTTCAATATTACATTACAAACTGTGGAAAAATCAAATAGGACAAACAATGAAACATAGGTTAGTAGTAAATGGAGGGGTTAATGCTACCCTTCACTATAAAAAGAAAAAATAGAGATAAATAAAAAATAGAGATAAATAAAAAATATAGAATTTGACAAGTGAAACTAACATTTGACAAGTGAAACTAACATTTGTCAATCACATAGTTATCAATGTAAAAAAATTTGAAGAGGATGGGTTTCAGTTTATTGAAATCAGGGGGTAAAGTAAAAAATGCATGATGACTTTAATAAAAAGAAATATGCAATGATACATGGTGATTATTGCACAAAGAATAAAATAAAATGTAAATGCAAAAGAGGGAGGGACATGTGGCATTTTGCAAGCGAATTTTCATGTTTTAAAATTTTGATATTGATATAGATATAGATATCACTAATTGATAATCTTAAAGCACTCGTCACGATGAATGAAAGCAAAACCCCACATTACTATTTTATACACTTTTGTATTTTTATACTGGGAATAATGTAGAGGTAGTTGCAAGATCACAAACAAGAACTTCGAAAAGAAAAAGAAATTCATTAACGGTGTGTTTGGATTGAAGGAAATGAATGGAAAGGAAGGGAAGGGAAATAGAGAGATGTGATATCTTTCATTTGGAAAACAAATGAAGAACGAAGGGAATTGGAGGGGAGAGAAATGGAGGGATTAAATTGTAGGAAAATGATCCCTCCAACCATGGAGAAATTTGGAAGGAAAACTCACCATTCTTCCCTCCCCTTCTTTTCCTTCCTCTTTCTTTATCCAAACACACTGTAAGTAATGTATTGAAGCTTTTAGTTATGATATGTTTGGATAGGCAAAAGGGAAGGATAAGAAGGAGAGGGAGGGGAAGGGGGAGGGAGGGGAAGGGGTAGGAAGGGAAGGGGATGGGAGGGAAAAATAAAGTGTTTTCCTTCCAAATCTCCATTGTTGGAGAGATTAATTGCTTACAATTTAATCCCTCCATTATTCTCCCCTCCAATTCCCTTCTTCCCTCATTTATTATCCAAATGAAAGATAATTCATCCATCCATTCTCCTTCCTTTCCCTTCCCTCCATTTCATTCAATCCAAACAAGTGTTTAGTTTTTAGCTCTATAGTTTTTACTAATATGATCTATGGTGTCCTAAGGGCTTCTTCAAATCTAAAATGCTATTGCACTATTGGTTAACAAAGTTATTTCAAAATCACACATAAAAAATGTTATAAATGTTCTATCATTGCTTATGCTTTCCATTCGTTTGTTCTTTTTTTATTTTATTTTTTTTATTTATTTTTTTTATTTTTTACGTAGCCCTATCATTTTCCTTAATAACTATTTGTAATTTGATTTATAGGGGAATGCGGAGAAATCAAGGATAATAATGGTAGGGGATACTTTAAAGAAGGCAGGTGATTCTTCCGATGGCCAGTTTTTAGAGATCAAGGACATTGGTGATGCACAGTATACATTTCTTTTACTTTTAAACTTCTGTTTTTCTAGGCATTTAACCTTTTGGGTATATTCTCATTTTTGAATGATTTGTTCTAATACCCCAATTGTTTATTTTTTTGAGATGTGAATGACGTATAATTCCAATTTCAATCAATGAAATCATGAGAGCACACTTAATTAGTTAATTACTGGCCTCATTCATTATGTATAGTTTGGACTTATGGAGTGTGAATAATTTCTTATTCACGAGGAAATTGGGCAAGCATAGTGAGGAAAAATAGTTCATTACTCATCCATGCAAGGTTTAATAAACATGTGAAATGAACAGGGTTTTGGGAAGATATTGATTTCAGTTGTAGATGAGTAATTTGTTGTCTTATTGTTTTGTTTATGATCAAAGAGGCTACTCATATACAAAGTATAATGGAAGTTGGTCCACCTATTAACTCGGTTTCCCTATAGCTGAGTAAGGAATCTACCCGCTTGCGAAAATTACTGAAAAATAGGGGGGATACTTTGTCAGTTTTCACAAATGAGAAGTGTGTTTCTTATAACTTAATATTGTGAACTATTATGAATTTACTTTTGAGAAAAGTCACATGTTAATTATATTGGGAATTTCTTATAATCTTAAATACCAATGTGCCTAGAAACATATACTTGATAGCATTACTTATCTTATTAATGGACTATTGAATAAAAAGTTAATAAACAATTATTGCTTGTTCAGTTGTTGATGGCTTGATTCTTGTATGTTTTTGTCAGGAGTATGCTCAAGGAGAAAGTTGGATCTTTTAGCCTTGTTCTTGAGAGACCTTTTTCACCCTTTCCAATAGAAGAGTTACTTTCAATGAATGACCTTGATATTCTTTTCAATAGAGGCCGTGTCCCTGTAGCCACATGGAGCAAGACCCTAGTGGCTTCAGCTTTGCAGGGGTCTAGTGAGAGTGGTGGGAATTCAGGTTTTGTAGTGTTCTCTTCAAAGTTTCTTGTATCACGGGCATGGAAGATGCTGAATGGGCAAAATGGAAATGGTTATCTGTTATCACAACATAACAGTTTACCAGCATCACTTACCCAGCTTGTTTGCATATCTGTGGAAGAAGATTCCACTGATGCTGAATGGTCTCATGGAAGCTTTCCGTTAGGTGAATATACCAAGGCAATTGATCGTTCTAAAGGAGAAATCTACTATAACCATTCTCTTGGTATGCAGTACAGCAAGGTGTGGTATTCAGATACCTTATTTAGTGTAGCTCTCTCTTTCTCCCCCCTTCCCCCCCCCCCCTAATTTAATTTATTTGAAGTATTTTTTTTTATATAAAAAATTCAATTTGTTTTGTTGAAATACTAGTTTAATCCTGTGCGTTCGATTAAATAGTTATTATTTGTTTAAAATAGTTGTCAATATTCTTTATTCAAAAAATGTGTACTCATAATCATAATCTCATCAATTAATTTTGATAGAAATATTGTACTTGTATTTATTTAGTCTTGAACTTAGGAAGAAAAAAAAAGAGAAAAAACAGGATAATGTCAAAAATACTTTTGGCGGGAAAAAATTTCATGAGAAGTTGACATGTGTCCCTTAATGATGTCAACATGTTTTGTTTTAGTAATAGTTAATAGATTAAGGTACATGTCTTATCTATATAAGGTACATATTCTAAAATTATATAAGGTACATGCCCTAAAGGCATAAGGTACACGGCCAGTCCTTTTTACTATAATAAAATATTTTAAAAATAAATATTTTTATAATGTTGAGTTGTTACTTCCAAAGTTTAATAATCTATTTGTAAAATCCATATAAAGTTAATGTTTACAAAATTATAATCTAAAGAACAAGTAATGATAAAAGGGACTGGCTTGGTCTTCAAAGCTGACATGATTATGTAATTATAGTCAGTATTACTTATCCCATATTTCACAAATCTTGATCTTAATTTCTTTGGTTAGCCTTTTGCTTTTCCATCCCTTTGATCTTTGGTGGCGAAATTTTAAACTCATCATATACACCTTTAGGCTTTTAATTCTCCAACTGAGCAATAATCTTAGCAAAACTTACAAAATCATGTAAAATACTTTCGATTATAAAGCAAGTGAAATAAGTAGAAATCTGGGGTCTAATGCCCACTTATTTCCTAAAAACAGGTTTTTAACATGAAAGAGGGGAAACCATTGCCGTTAAATGCACTTATCATTCATGAACCCTAATATTAAAGTATGTACCCTCCAATTGTCACTTTGTGGTGTAAAGTGATTAAACTTAGCTGTTAACATATATTTCTATGTAATACATTATCAACCAATTTGTCACATAAGCCATCCAGGCTAGATATTGGGCAAAATTGTAGTTTACTTCAAGCGATGGTTCGTTTGTCCACAATATGTTTTTTGCTTGATGTTTATGCAATAGAGAGGTTTTATTACTTATATACTTTTTATGTTTGTGTTTTTGTCAGATAACTGAACAGTTATATGTAGGTTCCTGCATACAAAGAGAAACTGATGTTGAGGCTCTAGCGAGTTTGGTGAGTGCTGTGGTAGTCATCAGCATGATAATTCTAACAACTATAGGAGGCATTGATGTCATTACTGAGTTCTGACAAATATGTACCAGGGAATCACTGCTCTCTTAAATTTCCAGAGTCCGATTGAAGCAGAAAACTGGGGAATCAACTCTAATTCTATCAAGGAGTGTTGCCATAAATGTGATATTCTGATGATCAATTACCCCATAAGGTGACTGGAGCCTCATATCATATATGGTGTTTTTCATTTCTTATCTTGCATTGTGTTTATTAATCAGAACTTCAGAAGTGGGCCTGAAGTCATTCTCATATGGAGCTCTTCTTACAACAAACTACTTAGAAATTTGAATTTTATTAAATAATTAATTCCTGATTATACATATTCTTTGTCCTTATCAATGTGACTTATGAGAAAGTAAATATCCTTACTGTAACTTCTTAAATAGACCTAGTTCACATTAATGTGGACCATTAATGTTAGGGTCACTATGTTGATAGGTTGCTATATTCAAATCAAAGTCCTTATATTAATAAAAAGGTCAAAATAAAGGTTATTATGTTGATATAGAAGTCATTGTGTTATAATAAACGTAATAAGAGATTAATATATTTTATAATTAGAGTTTTATTATACTGGTCAATATGAGTAATAAAGGTTACTATATTAAAATTAGGGTTACTATGTTCAACATAACGTTGGCTGGCACGTGTAGACCTCAGGTCTACAAAAATATTATTTTGAACCAAGTCCACGCATGTTTTTCCTATTTGTTAATTTTGCTTTGGCTTTTATCACCCGGTTTTGCTTTTTCTTTTTTTTTTTTTTAATTTTTTTTTTAATGTAATTTATTTTGAATTTACAGGGAAGGAGATTCCTTTGATATGAGGAAGAAACTGCCATTTTCCGTGGGACTGTTATTGCGCCTGTTGAAAAAAAACCACCGAGTTTTTGTCACTTGTACATCAGGGTTTGACCGTTCTCCAGCATGTGTCATTGCATATCTGCACTGGATGATGGACACTTCGCTAAATGCAGCTTATAATTTTGTCACTGGACTTCACACTTGCAGGGCTAACAGGTGCTTCTCAATATAAAGACATCAGTAATTAAGTTTCCGCTGTCACTAAAGTAATCCAAAATTACCTTCATTTCCCTTTCCTTGATCTTTTTTACTCATATCTCCTCTATCCTTTCTCCCTGTCAATGGGCAGAGTAAAGAGCATTCAAAACAGAAACTTAATAAATCTTTTGAGGTCTGCCACACAGACTTTGTGACACATTGAGATTAAATATTTTCTTGAAAGAGGTTCAATGGAGAGAGATAAACGGTAGGAGAGGTAGGATCTGAATTTGTTTGAGAAAATTATTTAGCATGCTTTATATCACTGTCTTAGGAAAGTTACTCTGAACAATGACAGGCTATTTATGACTGTTATTATCAAGTTCCTCTTATCTGCTTTTTTCTTTTCTCTTTATATTTAACTTAGGTTGTAATGCTAGACATTTTAGAGTTAAACAATGGAGAACTGAATGCAGGCCAGCAATAGCTTGGGCAACATGGGATCTCATAGCCATGGTTGATAAAGATAGACATGACAGGCCAGCGACCCATGCTGTGATATTTGTCTGGAATGGACATGAGGTAGCTAATTTACTTATTTATTTAGTTTTCAGGGCCTTTTATAGTCTCTCTTGTTTGCGTTTGTAATTCTAAATTCATATTTATTAAATAGTCTGTCTCTTTACATTTATTTATGTGATTCTTAATCTATTTCTAATGGCAGGGTGAAGATGTGTGCTTGGTTGGGGATTTCACTGGTAATTGGAAAGATCCAATAAAGGCAGTGCACAAAGGAGGGCCAAGATATGAAATTGAAGTTCGGCTACCACAAGGGAAGTAAGTACAAGTTTTTGTACGCAGTATCGCATCAATTAATGATTGCTTTAAGTTTGTGCAACCAAGTCAAATAGTTGGAGATAGAATTTGTGGGGTGCAGTGGCGTACACTATGGTACTCAAACATTGTTGTTTCGGCCTAATATCCCAATTGATATGTCCTACTAAAATGTGTTGTAGAATCTATATTGGATACTATGCTAGGCAGTTGAGCATAGTGGGCCTAGAAGACTGCAAAGCCACCCAAGAAATAAGCGAGAAAGATATGAAGATAACTTTACAGAGTCTTGAACTTTGTCAAACTTGCCCAAAATTACATCACATCTAGATTAATATTAGGCCTAGAGTTTAGATTGACCCTAATCTAGGACTAAAGCATAGGACTATTGTTTGTTTTAGAAATTGAGTTGACGTGAGGGATTGCAGAAGGCTTATCACATGATATACATTCATGCATTTCTGTTAATCCAAAAATCAAATTCCATAGTTGTGATAGTATGTTCTTTTTATGTTGTCACCGCGTCTTAGGATGGGACAGGTCCATATGTTTTAAAGTTTCAGCTATGCCTACCGCGGGACTCATACATCTATCATAGGATATGCAGTCAACCATTGGATTTTTTTTTTTTTTTTTTTTTTTTTTTTTTTTTTTTTTTTTTTTTGGTGGCCTGGTGGGTGTTTCTAGGAAAGAATTATGATTTTTGTAAATAATAATAATTATTATTTTATTATTTTTTTAATTTTAAAGTGAGAGATAAAGTAGAAGAGGAGATAGAGAGAAATAGATGATTCTTTTTTAATTTTCAGAATGAGATTACTAGTGAGTTTATAGCATTATTTATACAACAACAACAAAGCCTTAGTCCCAAAATCATATGGGATTGGCTAACATGAGTCATTACAAGGAACCGTCCGAAAGACAAAAGCACAACAAGATAATCAATTGAATGTAAGTTTGAAATAAAAAAAAGGTGTACAGTGAGAAACAAAGAGTATACAAATAAAATTTAAAAGAGTTTTAAAGAGTGGTAAGGGAATAAAAAGGAGAGGAAAAACATGTGAGTAAAAAACATGAAGGTTTGAGTAAACTATGAATTTTTTTTTTTCCGTTCTTTTTGAAAGAAGGAAAAAAAAATATTTAGAGAACAAAGTGCCAAAACAGGCTACAAGAGCACACTGTACAAAACCTAACAACAGGCTAACAACAAACAAACCAAAACAGAGCTTTACAATAGGCAAGCTATTCAATATCTATTGATCCTACTTGTCTTCTTAGGCATCACCTCAAAGATCCTATTGTAGATTTCGTCCAGAAGCTTCTTCACAACTCTATCTGGGCTTTGCAAGCATCAACTCCAAACAGAATATTTCTTTGCTGTCAAATTCCTTGTATACTACTCAACTGAAGATTACACTTTCTCCAAATTCTGCGAACTCCACTGAATTCCAGGGCTTTGTTCACAATCTTACAGCATACTTAGAGTATGTCTACACTCAAAAAATAAGTGATCCACAGTTCATCACTCAAATCACACAAATGGACAAGTTTGCTCAGCCATGATTCCATACTGTACAAGTTTAGACTTGACTCTGATTCTCTTCCATAAGATCATCCAGTAGGTAAACCTATGCTTAGGAATGTTAAGTCTATTCCAAGCCCAACTACACCAGGGCAGTTCTGGATGCTCAGGATTTAGGCTTTAACCATTTGTGTCCACTTGCCACTTTATAGCCTTTAGCATTAGCAATCCAAGTACCACTTGTATAGCCTGTTTTAATTTCATCCTTGATTTTCCAATGTGCTTCCAGGTCCAACTAGCTGTTGTAGCACATGTAGCCCTCTTCCAACTCCTCCCTTTCAAATAAGTGATCAATCTATTTTAGCCATAAGCTATCTTGTTTACTAGCTATATTATATATCTGCTTGCCTAATGCAGCCTTCAATCAATCAATCAAAGCCTTAATCCCATAAGTGGGGTCGGTTAACATGAACCAAATTTGATTATTCCGTGTAGTCATCGACATAAATCTTTCTCCTCCATCCCTTACGATCCAATGCTTCATCCTCATGCAAATCCATTCACTTCATATCCTTCCTAACTCCTTCCAACCAAGTCATTTTCAGTCTCTCTCTCCCTCGTTTAACCCTCCATGGTCCTACTCTTCCACTCTTTGCACCGGTGCACCTTCGGGTCTCCGCCTTACATGCCCAAACCAACGCAAGCGATTTTCCCTTAGTTTATTTGTAATGTCTGCCACACCTACTTTCTTGTGAATAACCTCATTTTTGATTCTATCTCTTAGAGTATTCCCACACATCGACCTTAACATGCGCATTTCCGTAACCTCCATCTTTTTAATGTGCTCCTTCTTAGAAGCCCAACATTCTGTACCATAGAGCAATACTGGTCTTATGGCAGTCCTATAGAATTTTCCTTGAATTGTAAGGGAATGCTTCGGTCACATAACAATCCCGTGGCCGCTTTCCATTTAAGCTACCCCGACTTAATCTTGTGAGCCACGTCTTGATCAATGTCACCATTCTTCTGGATGATCGACCCAAGATACTTAAAGCATACACTCATGGTCAAATCCTTTCCATCCAAACTCACCACTTCATTGCTTGTCCCCCTCTGAGTACCAAAACGACATACCAAATATTCAGTCTTACTCCGACTCAGCTTAAACCCTCTAGATTCTAACCTTTGTCCCCATTGCTCCAACTTAGTATTAACCCCATCCTTAGTTTCATCTACCAAAACGATATCATCAGCGAACAACATACACCATGGAACCTTCATCTTGAATTGGTCTAGTTACTTCATCTAGAACCGTTGCAAAAAGAAAAGGGCTTAATGCAGACCCTTGATGCAATCCGATTATAATAGGGAAATCTTTTGTCAACCCTCCACATGTCCTCACATTTGTTGACACATCCCGATACATATCCTTAAACAGGTCCACGTACCTTCATGGGATACCTTTCTTCAACATTGCCCACCAAAGTACCTCTCTTGGCACCTTGTCCATATGCCTTCTCTAAATCAATAAAGACCATATGGAGATCCTTCTTCTTTACCTTATAAAACTCCATCATTTGTCTTATCAAATGGATTGCTTCCATAGTAGATCTCCCAGGCATAAAACCAAATTGGTTATAAATGCTTGTGCATGCCCTCAACCTATGTTCAATCACCCTTTCCCACAAATTCATAGTGTGGCTCATAAGCTTGATCCCTTGATAGTTAGAACAATCTTGTGCATCTCCTTTGTTTTTACAGACCGGGACCAAGGTGCTCTTCCTCCTTGTAGCCGTCCATATCTTGTTGAAAAGGTCTGGTAACCAATCAATACCAATCTTATCCAAACACCTCCACACCTCTATCGGTACACCATCAGGGCCAACCGCCTTTTTAGGCTTCATCTTCTTCGGTGCAATCTCCACCTCTACTCTCCTAATCCTCCGCATATACTCCATGTTGATTTCTTCATTACTCACGGAAGTATCTCCAGTCACAACTCCATTACTTCCATTAAAAAATTCATCGAAGTACCCCTTCACCATGCCAATATCCTTCCTTGTCTCTTGTCTTCTCTTTAAATGATCTTTTCTCCCTCCTTGGAGTCAAGCTTTTCATAAACCTCCTGATAAGCCTTCTCTTTTGCTTGGCGAACAACTGCCTTTGACTTACTCTTAGCCTCTTTATACGCTGCAAAGGTTTCTTCACTTTTACATTTTCCCAAGGCTAGATAACATTCCTTTTTTTTGCTTAATTATTGCTTTCACCTCTTCATTCCACCACGAAGTATCTCTCGAAGCCCTTCCCCTTGATTCCCCTAAGACCTCTTTAGCCACTCTCAGGAAATAGTTCTTCATTCGTAACCCAGTCATGTTTGGATCCACCTCTCCATCCCAATCCGCCTCCTTAATTACCTTTTGTGTAAAAACCTTAGCCTTTGCATCCCTTAGAGTCCACCATCTTATCATTGGCTCCTCTTGTCTTCCTTTTTTCTTCGCCTTCTCTTTCAAACGGATAGTCATTACCAAAAGCCGGTGTTGGGTGACCGCACTCTCTCCTGGGATGACCTTGCAGTTTAGGCAACTTTGTCTATCCGTGCTCCTTGTGAGCAGGAGATCTATTTGTGAGCAGTTTAGGCAACTTTGCCTAATGCAGCCTTATTCCATAAAAAACAATCATGAACTCCCAGACCTCTTTCCTTCTTATTCCTGCAAATTATCTCCCAAGCAACTGGGAGCACTCTTGTAGATATTTCTTTACCATCCCAAAGATAATTCCTACACATCCTCATCACCCCAGCCAGCACTCTTAGAAACAGTTTGATAATATTGATTAATATATATAATGCTTTAATAAGCATGAGTCTAATTAAATGACAAATTATGTGAAATTTGTTTGAAAATGTCAGAATATAAACTCTTTACATACACTCATGGAAAAAAAACTCGGCCGTTCCGTTATATAACGCCCGCTTTGTAACGGGTTTCGGACCGATCCGAAAAAGGCCGTTATATAACGCCGAATTGAAATTCACTCCCAAATCGGCGAGTTGGCGTTATGTAACGGTAGAACGCTAAAATCCATTAAATCAGATTGTCTCAAGTTATAATTATGATCCATTTCTATTTTACCTTTCATTTTTAACAGTCCATCTTTCAAAGTGAATGTAGGATGGCCGATTTAGTGCTGACATTGCTAAAATATTTCCCTGTAACTATCATCTAGGTTATAACAGTGTTTTTTCTATCCCCCTAGGTCTGAACATATTAATGCCCTACATAGCTTATCAGATCCATGTTCTCTTGATAATACATCTGCAGCTACATTACATTTTCCTGATCACTCTGATATGGGATCTTATAAAAAAAAATGCCCATGAGCTTAGAGAGCTGTAATTGCTTAAATGGAATTGAGATCTTTTGTTGAAGGAGACATTCAAGACTTTTTTAATCTGTCTTTATGACAAAATGACTTACCACGAGGCTTCCCATTTTTGCACTTCAAGTGGCTCTTTTTTCATATCTGAAATTTTTTTCATAAAGTTCTGCTTGTAAAACCAAAAGCCGCCTTTTCTTGGAGTTGGATGCATTGGTGTCCACTGCAAACACCTTTGCAAAATCAAGAACCAGTGCTGTGACTAAGGTTTGTTTCAGTGTTTCAAAAGCCACTTGTGGAAATTTATTCCACATATAATTCCTTTTTATTTTTTACAGCTCCTGCAATATGGTTTACATATTACAGTAAATCTTGCATATACCTGTAAAAACTTTCTGTACTAGCCACTTTGCTACTGCTGCTATTATCTTAGGATCAGTTGATGTACCTGTGAATCAGGAATTCAAGCTTGTCAATATCAAAGCTACATTCACTTTTTTTTTAATGAACATTGCATTCTTTGTTATGAGTTAAGCAGTTCTTTCACATGTTTCTAGTGTTCAGAATTTTGCCTAGCTGTAAACTAAAAAAACAAAAAACGAACTCACACTTCCTTGGAAGTGTTTTAAAAACTTGGCTAATCCATCATGGGAAAGATGCAGGGCATTGGTTTAGACAAAAGGTGTTACAACTCTTTGATCCAATTTGCTAAACACCAATTCATCTATTAACCTTTCAATTACTGGAATAGGAAACTTTTCCTTCACTGTTATAAAGGAATTTTACACAAACTGAAAAACTGGAAACATTTCTTATCCCACATGGCAGAATTGTTTCCATCAAACCTGGGAAATTCGATTTTGGGATTCGTACCTAGGATTTCGTTGGATTGGCCCTTTGAGCTGAAACGTAATTTTTAAAAGAGGGAGTTGGAGTAGATCTATCTCTTGAAGCAGAATATACACTATCTCCCAAACTATAGAAGCTTAATCAAATACTCAAATATTTGATCCATCTTAAAAATGTCAGCATTCCATTGTTCTTGAGCATTCATTTTCCAGCGCATTAATTGTCTCGTTCATTTGCTAAACTTCACTCGGGAATTAGTGCCTTTTTCCAACAATTGAAGAGAGTATGTTGTGAATTATCAAGTTTTCAGAATTTGGTTAATATCTGAATGTACTTTGTTTGAACTCTCAGTCGAGCAATCTATCAAAGAGGTGTTGGGTATGATTCTGGATAATAGTATTTTTTTAGGATGCTTTCTTAAGAAGTGCTGGCTTAAAATAGAATTCGAGGACCCTGCAAAATCTTGATCAAACCAAGCTCTTGTACCAATAATGCAGGATCAAAGATCATTGATTAGATTTTTAGGAAAGAATAGAAAATGAGAAAGAATAGAAGAGGAGGTACAGAGAGAATAAGATGAATCAGATGATTGTCATTAAATTTTCAGTATGAGGTTACAATTTAACTTATAGTTCAATTAATAACAAGAATAAAGCAACATCAAACTAACTCAGAACTCAGTCTAAAACAGAAGGAAAAATCTAACTGAATTTTTGTATTCTACTTACAGTTATAAAAAGATGTGGTTAATAACGGGTTCGCCACCAAAACTATCCTAAAGCCAACATGATGAATTTATACTAATATTCAGCTTATTTGTTGCTTCCATATTATGAGGAGAAGATTGATCATCTTGTGAGTGGAGAGTGTGTATGACACTACTTGACCTGTAATACATGTGATTTGTCTATAGAAACACAAATGTGGCATAAATCTAGAGAGTGTATGACACTACTTGACCTGTAATACATGTGATTTGTCTATAGAAACACAAATGTGGCATAAATCTAGAGAGTGCAAAATTTTTTGTTAGGTTTCAAAAACCCTAGATCTGAAAATTCAAGTTGTAATGAAGAGGAAGAAAAATAAAGTTTGCCTGCAGGTAGAGCTCTTATATGTTTGGGGAGGGTGGTAGCGTCATGAGTCGTACTATTTATAGTATTATAAAATACATTTTATGGGATAGCATTAATTTGCTCTACCAGCTGTCACTAATCTTATGTCACAAAAAAAGAGACAAAAAACACTTGTTTTTATCTATTTTACACCTGACATTAATCTCCTATTCTAACAATAACATTTTTTTTCTCATCCTATCTGTAAGGACCATAACTGCCAAAGTACTAATCCTCCATTCCTGCCAATTAAAAATAGAATGAATGCCCATTGATTTTAGTTTGAAAATTTTAAATTTATAAAACTAATAACAATTGTTTCAGTACATTTTCTGTCCCTGAAAACGTGTCCCTAAACCTTTAACAAATTCAGAAATTGAGGTGTTCTTGTTCCAATGGTGTTTGAAAAATGCCATCAGCCCCCGGGCTTTTAGGGGGATGTTTTTATATCAAAGTCAAAAACAAATATTGCAATCAATCTGACCTGTACAACTATGTTTTTGCAGTTTTCTTAATTCCCATAGTTGCAACGTTTGTATCATATTCTCCTGGACCTTATTGCATGAAGTGGCCCATCTGTGTGTGTGTGTGTGATTTAACCATTTCACTTGCAGGTACTACTACAAGTACATTGTTAATGGCCAGTGGAGGCACTCGATGACTTCACCAACAGAAAGAGATGAAAGTGGAAATGTTAATAATATCATTATGATTGGTGATACAGCAAGTGCAAGGCCCTCTGTCCAGCAACACATAAAGGTTGGTTCTGTTCATTTTTTTTTTTTCCCCCCCCCCCCTCATGTCTTCATATGTATGTGTTTTCCATGAATCTTAGGGTACTAGTCGTGATCATTTTCCCAATAAGTCTCACTGCTTCTTTCTACTTCTATGAACAACAATGGAATTGGTCCTTCAACTTTGAACCTCTGTTATTAGCTATCCTTGTCAGTAATAGCATGTAGCACAAAAAAGCATATGGTTGAAGATTCTGGTAATGTGGTGTATGAGGGGAAGAATTGCACTTGACAACATAATACTTTATTTTCTTAGTATTGATGATAGATTAGTCGAATGATGACTTGGAAGAATTCTTCCTAGCATCTCTATGCATCAGCTATTTTGCCAACCAAGTAATATGTAATCATACCAAGCAAAGGTTGGCCTATTGGTAAGGATTGAACCTTCCAACCTTGAAGTTGGAGGTTTACCTACCCTTCTCCCCTGCTTTCAAAGTGTCTAGCCTGCAAACTCAGGTCGCAGTTTGACCTATGAGGGGTTTCGGTCCAAAAGAAAAGTTTTGCCTACCTAAATAAAGGTAATTTGAAATCTTAATTCAAGCAATAACTGGAATGGGATACTTTTGGAGAATTTGAGGCTTATAGAGCTGGGAGTGGGAACGAAAATTTTCTACGTGTCTTAGGTTTGTTTTGTGGGATAAGAATTTTTGTTGGTTAGTTTGTGATTGAGAATGGACAGCTCACTTTACCAAAGGGGGATGGAGGTAGCACCGTAACAAAGGATGAGACAGAAGTAACTGACTTGACCATATTTTTAAGTGATTTCTTATTATTAGTCCAACTATCACTTTATCTTTAATCCCTGAATTTCCATTTTCATGTTTGAAATGCCAATTGAAAGTTAATGGATGATTATGCTACTGTAATTTGCTTGAAGAGTTTGGAGGACTGGCTCTTGTTTCTATGGAAAATCATTGGCTCATTTCCACACTATAATGATAAGCAATGTTTATTATTGCATATTAAAGCCCTTTACAATTGTTACCATATGAGATAGTAATGGACTCACATAGTCAAGTGTATAAATGAGTATGTATGGCTGATGTATGGCTTAAGAAGCTCTCCTTTTAACTTTTGAATCCTCATTTGATTTTGACTATTAATCTTGACTGTTTATGCTGTTTTACTTCCTGTTATTATTGATGTTCCTTTCATCACAATCTATTAAATATATTCTCCATGCAAAGTTCAAATCATTTGAGAATTGTTGGTTACCTTCTGGTCTTGTTTCTGTCTTTCAATTATATCTATTTGTTATAAAGCCCATCGTTTTCATCATGGAACACATCATAAATGAGCCATTATGCAGCAAGTAATGTTGTTTATTTTTACAGGATGCTAATATTGTGAAGGTCATTGAGAGACAGCTGACAGAAAACGAGCGCTTTATGCTGGCTAAAGCAGCACGCTGCATTGCTTTCTCTATATGTCCAATAAGATTGGTGCCCAAGTAGCCCCTTAAACAAGCTTCTAAAAAGATTATTTTGGAATGAAAGGCGAAGTCTTATGAGAGTATAATCAAACCCAAATGAGTAGCTGCGTATTTGTGGTGTATGTGTAAAAACTTGTAACATACACGCTGTAAGATTATGGCAAGTTAATAGATGTCTATGTGCAAGATGATACCGGATGTGGAGGATTTAATTTGCCATCTTTGGGCCTTAGTTGATCATTGAAGCCACTATAATGGAAAAAGGTAATGATACAATGAAAATTCTAGGATGTAAAAAATTAGGGAAAGCCTTGTGAAAACAATTTTATTTAGGAAAAATACACTTTATTAATCCCAACTATGACCAATTTACTTTGAATAATCTCAACTTTCACCTCCGTTTTCTTCTATCAATCCCGAAAATCGGTTACCTGCTGAAAAGGTTTTTTTTTTTTTTTTTTTATAAAGAATTAAAATGCCACGTGTGACTTTTTCATTTGTCCAAAAAAAAAAAACCCACAGCCACCCCTTCATTCCCTGATTCGGCCATCGGGAAACCATCGCCTTCCTCTGCCCCGTCCCCCCCTCCCTATCCTCATCGAAAACATACCCCTTCCCTAGTTGCAAGCCCGCAACCGTTTTTCCTCCGCCGCAAGCCCACAACGACCAGGCCACCATAACCAATTAACCTCGTCCCACCATACCCCAACCGTCAAATTCTCTCTCCTCCGCCGCAAGCATGCAACCATCCGTCCACCATAGCCAACCTCGTCCTCGTTCCCGTCTTCATTCTCGCCGATTGGGTCATTGATCCCCGCCTTCGTTCTCGATTTGAGTGTTGACGAAAGTTGCAGTGTCGCAAGCAGATGGGAGTGGTTTCAAGGGAATGGCTTTGGGGTTTTGGTCGATTTCGACGGTGAATCTGGGGATAGGGGGTCGTTTCCGATTGGGTGGTCGGGGAAGGAAGTGGTTTAGTGGGGTTGCGACTGTGCGACGACAGGTTAGGGGTGGCGATTGGGGTGGCTGTTTGGCTGAGTTTGTTTTTCTTTGGTTTTTTTTTTATTTTTTTGGACCACTCACGATGCGACACGTGTCCAACAACCTACAATTAAAAGGTTTTTGACTTTTGCTGACCGGTTTGGGATTGGTGGAAGAAAATAGAGGTGAAAGTTTGGATTATTGCAAAATAATCGATAGTTGGGATTATTCAAAGTAAATTGGTCAAAGTAGGGATTAATAAAATGTATTTTTCCTTTTATTATTTATTTATAATTTTTTTCAAGGGTCCTTGTCATATGACATTCGGCTAACTAATTATGTATTTAATAGCAAGCCCATGCTTTAATGGGTGATTGGACTAACCTACCCTTGAGTCAATTCAAAGAAATAATTCTCTAAAATTGACCTACTCATCAAACTCCATGAATCAAGGGTTATGTAGTGTTCCTTGCATAAGAGGGAGCACAGGTTTTATGTTTATCAAATGATAATTTAGTAAATATCTTGCTTTGTTTTCTACGAAATGTAATACCCCGTATTTTTATACGTATTTCAAATTTAAATAAGTATTTCATGAATTATTTAAATAAAACAAAATGAATTATTTAAATAATACGAAATGAATTATTTAGGGTTTTCTTCAATACAAAAAGAATGATTTTAATTAAAAGTAAGTTTTATTATTTAATAATCTTGAAAGTATTTGATTTCATGGTTTAAAAATATTGGGGCATATTATTTTATAAAAGATAATTTATTTTAAAAGGATCAAAAGTCTAGTTTGAATAGGAAAGGGATTATTAAGGGAAGTAAGTAGGAGTTTAAGAGAGAGGGTATAAATACCCATCATATGCCTAGGGTGGAGTGCACCCAAAGGTAAATTCTCTCTCTCCTCTTATTTTATTTTTCCTTATTTTTTCCCCTTTCCCTTTAATTAATTAATTTAATTGTTTATTGTTTAACCACCACCACACACGCCGGCCACCACCACTACCAACCTTCGCCGGTGGCAGCAGCCACCAGGCAGCGTGGTAGCGGCGGCCCAGGTGGTTGCGTGTTGCCTATTCTCCGTTCTTAATTTTCTTAATCATGTTTAGATTCTAACTCGTCCGATTTTTACAAAAAAATAGTGTTTTTCGTGTGTAAACAACATTCTAAACAAAATTCACTACCTATGGTAATGAGTACCACCCTCTCGTGGCCAAATTCAGCTTCTAAATATGGTTTTCGGGCAGTTTTTTATTTTTAACAAAGGATTTATGTTTTTTTTTTTAAATTAAATCTACCTAAATCTAATTATTGTTTTTGGGTTTTGTGGTGATTTTATAATGTTTAAAAATAAGTATTTTATTTATAATTTTCAGATTTTAGTTTTGAATTGAAAAGCCCCAAAATTGAAAACCCTAGGTTTCTAAATTAATATGTGTTAATGGGATTTGATTGTGGATGATCTAAATTATTGAAATAGGTGTTTTAAAATCAAATTACAGCAATTTAAGATGTTTTAATAATGCTGGAAACTTTATATATAAGCCTAAATTAAGTTTCTTGAAGGAATTTTTAATCACCCATATAATTGGGAACAAAGTAAGGGTTTTAAATAAAATTTAAGCTTATTTTAAAGGTTTTGTGAGCGATTTAAAGAGAGTATATATTGCTGGAATTTTTGTGTTAAAGAGGTATTAATACTCCTTTATAATTTTGGTTTGTAGGAGTTTTCCAAGTGAGTGACTTTGTGTAATCGTGGCTATTTTGAGATTGTATTCAATGTACGTTCGCGTACTTGGTAAAGTTTAGAAGCATGCTAGGCTTTGTTAAATTAATTCCAAGTAGTATCATGATAGGTGTTGGATGAAATTTGTTGATTGGATTGATGTTGGTGAATGATTGGTGACATATGATTTATTTATGGTGAATTGGTGATTGGAATTAATTGTGTTGGCATGTTGATTGTGAATTATACTTTTATTATTGGCATGTTAGAAAGCATGTTTAGTTAAACTAAATGTTTAATTTGGTTGAGAATATGAAAAAGGAATTTTAATATGGTTCATATAATTTTTATGATGCTATAAGCATGAGGAAGGAGCTATTAAGTGTCTATGTACACGAGGATTAAATTATATTTTGGTGCCCAAGTGCACTTAAGGTGTTTCTAACACCGAGGGATAGGATTTGTGGCGCATTATGCATTTAAGGTGTCTTTGACACTGAGGTAGTTTAAAAAGGGTTCAACATTAAATTTATGTGGTCACTAATTATTCAAGAATTAAATCGGAATGTTTGATTGCTTGAATAAATTATAGCATTTGGTTTGTGTTAGGTCTGAGAGTCATCACCAAGTCTAAAAATTGGTAAATAACGTAAAGTGAAAGAGATTACGCACCAAAACTCTTGAACGTATATACCTTGAGTATAAACATATGGGGGGAGTTATGGGGTTTTATATAACCATAACTTCTACTGGAGTACAGGACGCTGTATTTTCCTTTTTATTATGCGCAGGAATTCCGCCACTCACGAGTGGTTTATTTTATACTTTCACGGTTAGCTCCCGTGTTAGTACCCCTTTATTGGGGCAGGTTAGGGGAAAACCCGTTCGATGCGTAATCAAGCTAAATAATTGGACTATTTATTGGTATAGTTAAGTGTTGAATTTTTGTATGCTTGTAAACAGGTGCAACAAGGTAAGTTGTGTGTTGATAGGATGAAAGCATGTTAGTGTGTTCTTATTATGCTTATGTACTTAGCTTTGCTGATTGTGTGTATCGTGTGTTTGTTTGGCCTTGTCTTTACCTTGGCCCTACGACGACCCATTTCTAATGGCAGTAGTGGGGACAAGTAGAGAGAAACTTTTCAGGTGATGAAGCATAGTCATGATGGGGCATGAGTGAAGAGTGAATCATGCTTAGTTCTCATAGGAATATGATGTGTTTATTGCTTTGAATTATTATTTCTATACGTTGATTGTGAGACTAATGCAAAGGATTTTTTTTAAGCATTTTGGTTTAAGGGCCTACAATGGTTCCAAGTTGTAGGTCAACTTCGTTTGACTTTGTTTGACTTTTACTTTCGTTTGGTTTGACTTTTAAAGTTGACTTGATTTTTAAATGGTTTTAAAGATAGTCTTCCGCTGTGTGTCTTTGATAATTACCTTAGCCGTTTTCATGGTGGCGGTAATATCTTAGATTTTCCGTTTTCGTGTTTTAAAAAGGGCAAAACAGGTATTTTAAAAGAAAGAAATTTATAGGGTGTTACAGAAATGGCTTTAAAAATACATTTGGCTCTGTTGTTAGATGGCACTAAGGGATCCCTGTTAACGCCAAGTTAACGTCTAGAAGACCATCGTCAAGTTAGAAAGTTATTTGGGTTAATTTTTTAGAAGAGAGAAAGTGCAAAAAAAAAAAAAAAAAAAAAGAGAATCGATACAAAAACTAATACTCCATTATGGCCATGGATGCAACGACGAGCTTATTAATTTAAGACCAACAATCCAGTAAGGCTTCTCGGTGAAAATTGCTCCACCTTCAGATTGGTTTTTAATTTTTTTTCCCTTTTCATTTTTCTTTTCCATCTTCTAGTCTTCATCCTCCAACTTCTTCTTCTTCTTCTTCTTCCTCCTCCACCTTCTTCTTGCTTTATAGCTCCTCCATTGTAGTAGCTCATGAACACCACTTTCACCACCACATTTTCGATAGCTTCGCCGCCGAACTAAACGAAAATTCTAATTGAAAAGGAGGAAAAGAATGGTATGGTTAACCATAAGTGAAAAGGGTTGCGTCCTCCTGCCCAACTAGGAAGGGCAACGGATCGGATTTGGGTCGGATGGAGCTTCACCCGCTCACTCCATCCGCTCCACCCAATCCACCCGTCACCCACAAAACCCATCACTTGCATCCAATCCATCCGTCATCTGTGAGTGAAACGGGTGAATTGGATGCTTAATAGGTGATGATATAAATTTTAATTTATAAATTTATCAAAATTTCGATGCATATTATTGATGTTAATACATCAAAATTACCGATATTACTCATTTTTGGGAAATTAATCCCTTAACACAATACCTACCATTGTTGATTGCTTAGTAACTTTATCAAAACAAAGGCAACTACAATCTTAACATTCAACGCATTAACTAATACAATTTCTGGGTAATATTACCACTACAACCATATTCAAAACCCATATAAATTCTTCAAAGTCTTCGTCTTCTTCCGTTGTTTTGGTATTATATCTTAAAGAAGAATAGAGAAAATAGAGGTTTAAAGAAAAAGGAAAAAAGCCCAAGAAAAAACGAAATTTGAGGGGGGTCACGCTGCCGGTGAGAGTAGCCGGTCAGTGATGGTGAGGTGGTGAGAAACTGAGAGAGATAGAGAAATTGAGAGAGATAGACTGAGAGTTAGAGAGTGCGAGAGGTGGCGTTAAAAATTAGGGGTTAGGGTTTCAGAAT